CCTCCTCCTCGTTCTCCTCCTCCTCCTTCTCCTCCTCCTCCTCCTTTCCTCACATTCCTCCTGAACCCCATGAAAATTACGATTTGTGTTCCTGCTCCTCCTCCTCCTGCTCCTGCTCCTCCTCCTCCTCCTCCTCCTCTTCCGCGGTCTCATTTTCCTTCTCCTCATCCTTCTCTCCCTCCTCCTGCTCCTCCTGATTGCCCTTCCGCTGTCTCTGAAGCTCGGTGTGGTGAAAGCCTCGGGCCCTCGATGGCCCCACCCGCCCTACACCCTGCAGCATTGGCGCCGCTTCCAGCAACAACAGCGGCCCTGCTCGAGACTTCCCCTCTTTCTATTCAGGGCCAGGTCCTTGCCCCCATCCTCACCAAGGCAATCCTGTCGCTCGATACTTCCTTGTGCTTTACCCTTGGCTGGGGCTCCACTGGCGGTCTCGCATCGGCGCAGCACGGCGCGGGCATGCGCTGTCGACGCGGGAAATGCTGAATTTACTCGGAGGGGTTGTTTGAAAGACCTCATTGGGCGGGAGATCTGGAAATGGGAATAACGGACCCCGCTATAAAACAATAATCCCCCATGATGGGGGTGGTTATCATGGTGGTCGCATGTTTCGTGTGGAAACATCACGCATGAGAGTACAATTATTGTTGTTAGTGCTGTTGTTGTTGTTGAACATTATTAATTCTAAAGAATAATTATTGTTGGGACCCCTGGTGCACGGCCCCCCTGCGCCGCCTAGGCCGCAGCTACATTTTCATCATTTTCGTGAGGAAGCCTCAGGTAATTCGATGTGATCAAGATCCGGTTGTTTTGTTCCCCCCCGCTTTCCCTTGCAAAAAACACTATAAAATGACATTTCTTGTTCTAATATAATCAAATTTCAAGAATCCTTTGCAAAAAATAAGGTAAAGTGGACATTCGCGCGCGCAAGACGAAATCCTTCCAAAAGCTTAGTGTTCGGAGCGATTTCAACATAAAAACATCAAAAAACTAATGGTTTTTCAACAAAAAAATGTCAAAATCTCATCCCGCGCGCTCTTGCGGATTCGTAGGAAACCCAACACTTTTTAAACATTTCTGTCAAACGGGCTTTTGCGAGCAACTTTTTCGAACTTCTGCGACAACGGTTGCGCACCTGCCAGGGCCATCATCCCTGTCAAATAATACCATGCGGGACACATTCGTTTTTTCTTCGCGCGCGCACGCCGAAATCTCCAAAAACCATTGGGTTCTTAAGAATTTTACCACCGCGCATCATAAAATCACACGAATCGCACCGTAGGTCCTCGAAAAACAGCTGCACGACTTTTCAAAATTTCCACCCGCGCGCGCTGTCCAGCCGCTTCAGCGGTCTGTGGGTGTGTACTCCACGCCAGTGTAGTAGCCACGGTCGTCCGCAGGCCACGAAGTGAAGTGTCCGAACGTCATAGGGCGGGAAGCTGGGTGTGGGTGGTGGCGAAGAGTCGTGTGGATATTTGGTAGAGCTTGCACTGCCCCCCCACAAAGTGGGGGTATTGGCTGGCGTCGCATGAAAACCCTGGCACTGGTGAGAACACTGAGCGTTCGGGTAAAGTGATTGTTGTTGTTGTTGGTGTTGTTGTTGTTGTTGTTGTTGTTGTTGTTGTTGTTGTTGTTGAATGTTACTTACGAAGCAATTACTATTGTTGGACCCCCTCCAGGCGCTTTGGCGCTCTCGCCTCGGCGCCGGCTACACTTGCATTGAAAAGGACGCTCACGCTCGAGCGGCTTGGGGGGGCGCCAAAGCTGGCCCCCAAACAACAACAACCACAACCACAACAACAACAACAACAACAACAATCACTTTACCCGAACGCTCAGTGTTCTCACCAGTGCCAGGGTTTTCATGCGACGCCAGCCAATACCCCCACTTTGTGGGGGGGCAGTGCAAGCTCTACCAAATATCCACACGACTCTTCGCCACCACCCACACCCAGCTTCCCGCCCTATGACGTTCGGACACTTCACTTCGTGGCCTGCGGACGACCGTGGCTACTACACTGGCGTGGAGTACACACCCACAGAAGTTGTTAAGCCTACGTTCGTACACCCACAGAAGTTGTTAAGCCTTGTTAACCCACAGAAGTTGTTAAGCCTTCCACAGAACATCTGTTGCATATGATGCATATGGTACATGATACACATGATACACATGATACGTACTCACAAGATAGTTGATCACATCTTTAGGGCAAATTCCTGAGGGATGTGGGAATACACAAGAGAGAGAGAGGATATGGTTGTCCCGATGGTTGTCTCGATGGTTGTCCCGATGGTTGTCCTGATCCAATGGTTTTTGGAGATTTCGGCGTGCGCGCGCGAAGAAAAAACGAATGTGTCCCGCATGGTATTATTTGACAGGGATGATGGCCCTGGCAGGTGCGCAACCGTTGTCGCAGAAGTTCGAAAAAGTTGCTCGCAAAAGCCCGTTTGACAGAAATGTTTAAAAAGTGTTGGGTTTCCTACGAATCCGCAAGAGCGCGCGGGATGAGATTTTGACATTTTTTTGTTGAAAAACCATTGGTTTTTTGATGTTTTTATGTTAAAATCGCTCCGAACACTAAGCTTTTGGAAGGATTTCGTCTTGCGCGCGCGAATGTCCACTTTACCTTATTTTTTGCAAGGGATTCTTGAAATTTGATTATATTAGAACAAGAAATGTCATTTTATAGTGTTTTTTGCAAGGGAAAACGGATTACAACAAAACAACCGGATCTGGATCACATCGTTTTACCTGAGGCTTCCTCACGAAAATGATGAAAATGTAGCTGCGGCCTAGGCGGCGCAGGGGGGGCGTGCACCAGGGGGCCCAACAATAATTATTCTTTAGAATAAATAATGTTCAACAACGCTCCCGCTCGAGATTTCCTTCTTTCTCACTCAAGACCGGTGCTCTTGCTTGCCGCCGAAAGCTGCCGTCCCGACAAAACCACCGCTACCGCTCGAGATTTCCTCCCGCTTCACCCTGGACTGGCGCGTTACTGTTTCCTCTTATCAGCGCCGCCCCCAGCACCGCTCCCGCTCGAGACCTACACCCTTTTTTTACTCAAGGCGGTGCTCCTCCTCGCCGCCAAAAGCCGCCGTCCCAACAAAACCAGCGCTACCGCTTGAGACGTCCTCCCGTTTTGCGCTCCGGCGCCCTCTTCTTTTTTGCAGTGGCGCCGCTTCCAGCATGAACAACGCTCCCGCTCGAGGCTTTCCATGTTGTCCCTCAGGACGGTGCTGTTCCTCGCCGCCGACAGCCCCCATCCCGACAGAACCACGGTTCCCGCTCGAGACTTCCTCCCTTCTTGCTCAAGGCGGTGTTCGTTTTCGCCGCCGACAACAGCCGCCCCAACAAAACCAGCATTCCCGCTCGAGACATCGTTTTGTTTTACGCTGGACTACCGCCGTACTCTCTTCAGCATTGGCGCCGCTCCCAGCAACAACAGCGGCCCTGCTCGAGACTTCTTCCCATTCTATTCAGGGCCAGGTCCTTGCGTCGCCGCCGACAGCCCCCATCCACACCAAGGCAATCCCGTCGCTCGACACTTCCTTGTGCTTTACCCTTGGCTGGGGCTCCACTGGCGGTCTCGCATCGGCGCAGCAAGGCGCGGGCATGCGTTTTCGAGGCGGGATATGTTGAACTTGCTCGGATGAGGTGTTTGCAAGGCCCTATTGGGCGGGAGATCTGGGAATGGGAATAACGGGCCCCGCTATAGAACAAGAGTCCCGCATGATGGGGATGGTGATCATGATGGTCAAATGCTTCGTGAAGAAACATCGCGCGTGAGGGTAACATTATAATTGTTGCTGTTGGTGTTGTTGTTGTTGAATGTTAAGTACGATCCCCCCAGGCGCTTTGGCGCTCTCGCCTCGGCGCCGTCTACATTTGCATTGAAAAGGACGCTCACGTTCGAGCGCTTGGGGGGGCGCCAAAAATTGGCCCCCCAACAACATCAACGCTCCCGCTCGAGAATCCCTTTTTTTACTCAAGGCCGGTGCTCTTGCTCGCCGCCGAAAGCCGCCGTCCCAACACAACCAGCGCTAGAGCTCGAGACGTCCGCCCGTTTTACCTTGGACTGGCGCGCGAGTTGTTCCTCTCATCGGCACCGCCTCCCCAGCAACAACAACGCTGCCGCTCGAGACCGTCGCCCTTTTTTACCCAAGGCGGTTTTCTCGCCGCCGAAAACCGCCGTCCCGACAAAACCAACGCTACCGCTCGAGACGTCCTCCCGTTTTACGCTGGACTGGTGCCCTCTTCTTTTTTGCGTTGGCGCCGCTTCCGACAAGAACAACGCTCCCGCTCGAGGCTTTCTATCCATTGTTTCCTTAGGACGGTGCTGTTCCTCGCCGCCGACAGCCCCCGTCTCGACAGAACCACGGCTCCCGCTCGAGACTTCCTCCCTTCTTACTCAAGGCGGTGTTCCTCCTCGCCGCCGACAACCGCCGTCCAAACAAAACCAGCGTTCCCCCTCGAGACTTCTGTTTGTTTTACGCTGGGCTACCGCCCTACCCTCTTCAGCATTGGGTCCGCTCCCAGCAACAACAGCGGCCCCTTCTATTCAGGACCAGGTCCTTGCGTCGCCGCCGACAGCCCCCATCCACACCAAGGCAATCCTGTCGCTCGACACTTCCTTGTGCTTTACCCTTGGCTGGGGCTCCACTGGCGGTCGCGCATCGGCGCAGCAGGGCGCGGGCATGCGTTTTCGAGGCGGGATCTGTAGAATTTCAGGGAGGAGGTGTTTGCAAGACCCTATTGGGCGGTAGATCTGGGAATGGAAATAACGGGCCCCGCTATAGAACAAGAGTCCCGCATGATGGAGATGGTGATCATGATGGTCGCATGTTTCGTGAGGGCAGAATGAATGTCGTTGTTGTGTTTTGATGTCGTCGCCCCACCCACGACCCACCCGCGACCCACCCAGCGACCCACCCCGCGACCAAGCCCGCGACCCACCCGCGACCCACCCCGCGACCCACCAACGACCCAACCCGCAACCACCCAGCGACCCACCCCGCGACCCACCCGCGACCCTCCCGCGACCCACCCGCGACCCCCCCCGCGATCCACCCGCGACCCACCCCGCGACCCATTCGCGACCCATCCACGACCCACCCCGCGACCCACCCTCAAGGGAGGAAAAACCACCCGGACCCGACAATTGACGTTTACTAAACGGCCCTGGGCGTTGACTAAACAGCCCTGCCCTGTTCGATTCGTTCCTTGTGTGCATTTACTAAACGGCTTCGCTTGTCGGCGTGATTCTGGGGTGGATTTTCTGCCCTCTACACCCGCGACCTGCCAGCGACCCACCCATATTGATTTAACGAAAAAGTCGGCGCCTGCGGCGGGCTCGCTGTATAATTTGAGAAACTTTGGCGCCAGCGGCGGGCTTCTCCAGAGTCTCGCAAACTGCCAACGTCCCAACCGCCCCCATCACTCTTATCCGCATCTGCGGGGTGCTATGTATCTATAATTATGTGTGCGTGCGCATGAACCGTACTAGCCAGAGTGATCCCTGGGCCCTGTCGTTGGCCATTCATGTTTAGCCATTCGCCTTGTGCAACTTACGCGGTCCATCATATGTGGCGCAACATACGTGGGATAAGATATGTGGTGCAACTGATGTAGTGCAATCTACGAGGTGCGATCTACGTTGTGCACTATGTTTTGCGATAGTCTATGTGCGGTCATTGGTTCTGTAACTGTTTTTCCAATTCTGGGATTTGAAGCCCAGGAGGGCTGCAGCGTTGATTTTTGCTGGAGGCTGTTGGACCCCAATTGTACAAACTACCATACATACAAACCATCATAATGGAACTGCAAGGCTTGCACCAGTAACCGCGAACACCTGGGTGCAATGGCCAGGTTTGGCGCTCTGCTGCTCTGCAAACGTTGCGAGCTCAGAGGGGTTCCTGCTCCCTCGAGTCTCTCTCTCTCTCTCTCTCTCTCCCTCTCTCCGCTTCTGTTCCTCTGCCTCTCGGCCTCATCTGCAGGAGTGGAGGAGGAGGACAAGGAGGCAGGAGGAGGCAGACAAACAGGGAAATGGAGGCAGACAATCTGGGGAAATGAGAAGGCAGACAAGAGGAGGAGGAGGAGGCGGAGGAGGAGGAGGAGGAGGAGGAGGAGGAGGAGACGAGCGCAACAAGAAGGGGGAGGGGGATGAGAGCAGCACCAGCACGAGAGGGGGTCCGCAGCAGAAGGAACAGAAGACGGAGAAGGAACACGAAGAGAGGGGGGGGCAACAGGAGGAGGACGCACAGCAGGAGGAATCGGAGGAGGAGGAGGGGGGAGGAGGAGGAGGAGGAGGAGGAGGAGGAGGAGGAGGAGGAGGAGGAGGTCGCATAGCAGGAGGAATGGGAGGAGGCTGGGACAGAGAGGGGAACGAACGGAGAGGGAGAGGAGACTCAGCCAACAGAAACGAAGACGATCAGTGGGTGCTGGGAGGGCTGTCCATACATCTGTAAACATGTAAACGTCTACGTCGACGTTTACACATGTAAACATGTGTGTCCCTATATATGTTCACATATGTCAAAACGTATGTCTCTAGACGTACACAGTCAGCGTTGCCCAAAACCATATGAGATGCACTTGTTACTCGCTTCTCTCTGGTTGTAAACGTGTTTGCGAGTACGAACTGTACACAACTATGCACAATCTCTCTCTCTCTCTGTCGTACTGAGCTTCCCCCCGTTCTGCTACCAGTGCTTACCTCATCGCCCATATCAACTCGATCTGCTGTCTGTTCTCTGCACTCCAATTATCTTAGAGAAACTCCCGTCTCTCACTGCTGAGCTCAGCCCTCTGCTCTTTGAAATGTCTCTTGTGTCATTTACTACCGACCCTCTCGTACTAACCGTGGTCGCGAAGACCTACAATACAATGGCCAAACATGCAAGTGGTCGCGAAGTGCAGAATCTGGGGTCCAAAATCTGGACTGGACCCAGGAATCTGGAACATAAAAACCAGGAACCTGGCAGCCCACCGAAATCGGCCCCGAAGCGGAAGCCTGGATCCCCAGCCGCCCACCGAAATCGGCCACCACCTTCACTAGCAATTTCCACGACCCGTGCAAGCACTGATCGGGGAACATCAGCCTTCGGAGGTCCGCCATGTCTCTTTGCGTCGGCGTGGCGCGCGCCATGGGGCAGCGCCGGAGGCTACGCCATGGCGGCCCGGCGCCGACCCGAATCGTGTTCGTGAGCCCGTGCCCGACGCCTCAGCGGGGTCCCGCGCCGACCCGACCACGCGGGCGCACGGGTGCCCAGCTCTGAGGGCGGCGTGAGCAAGACATTCGGAGAACGACCCAAAGATCCGACGACCCCAGAACGTAGTGGGCCCCGGAAACGGCAGGGCCGTTCATCGTTCACCGCTTTCGAACAAGCGTCTCTTGAAAATGGGAGCGGTAACAAAAAACGGCGAGCAGAAACGGCCAACAAACGGCTCCGGGATTGGAACCGCAAGCCGTAACCGGCAACAAAACAGCGACGGGAACGGCAACGAGAACTGCAAAACGGAACTGGTAACAAAAACACCCTGTCGTTTCCTTTGGACGCCCGAAATGGGTACGGAAAGAATGGGTACAATGCCCCACAACAAATGTTGTCCCACACCAACAGCGGCCGCTGTTGGGCAGGCGGCCTTCTGTCTCGAATGTGCACAGGCCGCGGCGGCGTGGACAGCGAGCACTGTTCAGAATGAAAAGGAACTGCTGTTGAGCATTGTACCCATTCTTTCCGTGCCCGTTTCGCTCGTGCAGATTTCCAGGGCCCACCGAACCCGAGAAGTCCCGACCCCTTTCCCGAGGGCAGACTTCCGTCCCCGATGCGTGCTAGCTGCTCCCATGGGCCCGCCGACGAGCCCCGGAGGCAAACCACGATGACAGCCACGCCCGCTCGGAAGACGTCGGAGATCTGGGCCCCTCCGGGCGGCACGAGCAATTCCGAAAGTCTGTGCATCCGCGCGGCTCAGACGCCGAAGCCGTAGATGGTGCGACCCTGGCGCTTCAGGGCGTAGACCACGTCCAACGGGCTCACCGTCTTCCTGCCCGGCGGAGCAGCGGAAGACTGGCGTATGGAGGCTTTTCCAGCATGGAGCGGTCTTCCGCGAACGAGGGGGGCTCAGACGCATCCAGCAGTCCACCGCGACCCGCAGAGAGGGGCCTAGTCGAGACAACGGCGGCCCTCGCTGGCGTGCGTGCTTCTGTGGATGAGCTCCTCAGCGCCGCGGCTGGGGCCGCCTCGGACAGAACGCCAGGATAGACCCCAGGAAAGGTCCATGAGCCCATTTTGGCTAGGTCCATGGACCCATCTTGAGAGGACTGGACCAGGGGCTGTCCTCGCTGGCATTCGTTCTTCTGTGGGTGAGCTCCTCACCGCCGCGGCTGGATCCGCCTCGAACAGAACGCCAGGGTAGACCCCAGAAGAGGTCCATGAGCCCATTTTGGCCAGGTCCATGGGCTCTGGACGCCCGAGTTCTCCGGGGCAACTCGGGTCCGGGGTAACTCGGGTTCGGGTTCCCGAAAAAGGAACCCGAGTTAGCCCTGACCCGAGTTACCCCTGATGATTCGGGGCTCTGGACGCCCGAGTTATCCGGGGTAACTCGGGTCCGGGGTAAGCCGGGTTCGGATTCCCGAAAAAGGAACCCGAGTTAGCCCTGACCCGAGTTACCCCTGATGATTCGGGGCTTTGAGGACCCATCTTAAGAGGACTGGACCAGGCAGAGGGGCCGCCAGTGCCTCAACGGGCCCTCCTCCGAATGACGCAGGCCGGCTCTCAACACCCGCCTCAACATAAAAAACGATCCGCCCGTGATCAGTCCGAAATCTCACTTCCGCCGCCTTCTGCCGGCCTTCCGCCAGATTTCGCCGGCGGAGGCGGCCTCGTTTTCCTTCCTCCCTGGATGCTCGAAGGCATGACCCTCTTCGGAACGCCCCATGTCAAAGTCGCCCTAGAGCGCGCCGCCCGGGCCGGGGGCGCCCTCCACGGATTCCATCTCTCCGCCGTGATGCCCCGAAACGGCCCGGGCCCACCCAGGAAGAGCAGGGCGATCGCCGCTGGAGGACGCCCCCCCCCCCCCCCCCCACCCACTTCCAATCTTATGTCGGGCGTGTCCCCCTACAGGGGGATATTCGACGAAAAATAAAAAAAATATCCCAAAAATGAACCAAAAAGGTCAAACATACTAAAAAAAAATAGTCCCCGGACTATTTTTGGATTATTTTGGGGGTATGTTCTATTTTTCGTCGAAAATCCCCCTGTAGGGGGACAGGCCCGACTTAATTCCAATCCAAGAGATCGGCTGGGCTGATTCACTGTCGCTGGGGCCCGCCGACGCAGAGTCACCGCGGGCTCCCTCCCACCTGAAGGTCGGGTCGGCAGGCAAGGGGGGGGCAGCGAGAAGCGAGAAGGCCTTCTCAGAAGGCTCGGAAGTCCTCCGGCCTTCTGGGAAGATTTCGGATCTCCCCCCGAAGACACAAGAAACAACTTCTCAGAGGGCGCGAAGGTTTCTGAGAAGTGCCGCCGCCGCCTGAGAGGGCCTTCTTCGTCTCACTGCCCCCTATCGCTCGCCGCCGAGGGAGGGGGAAACCATAGGGGGGGCCTCGCTCAGGGGCGGGGGACATCGACCTGGAATCGGACATCTATATATATATATATACACATATATATTACATCGTATGTGTGAGTGTGAGTGTGAGTGTGAGCGTGAGTGCGAGCGTGAGCGTGTGTGTGAGTGTGAGTGTGGGCGTGAGTGTGGATGTGAATGTGTGTGTATCGCCGCTGGGTCCACGACAGGCCCCCGATGGCAGATCCGCGCGACCCCGGGAGGGCGGGCCACTGCCCCCCCCCTTGTCGGCGAGTGCTCCCCTGAGCGGGGCGGGCGCCCTCCGGACCCCCCCCTGTCGGAGCTGACTGGGCGCTTGGGGGGCCGATGCCCTCCTCCCTTCCTCCTCCTCCTCCTCCTCTCTCCTCCTTCCTCTCCTTCCTCCCTCCTCCCTCCTCCCCTCTCCTCCTCCTCCTCCTCCTCCTCCTCCTCCTCCTCCTCCTCCTCCTCCTCCTCCTCCTCCCCACCCCCCTGTGCCTATTCCCCCCTACCGTTCGGTCGGGCATGTCCTGCTACAGGCGGACGTTTGAGTACAAATTACTCCGACGGTAGGACCCCACACGAGAATCTGTTTAGCTTACCTGGGGTTCTCCTCCTGCCCCCTCCCCTCTCCCACCTACTCCTGCCTCATCCTTCTCCTCCTGCCTGCTCCTCCTCCTTCCTCAACCCCTGCCTCCTCCTCCTCCTCCTCCTCCTCCTCCTCCTCCTCTTGCCTCCTCCTCCTCCTCTAGCCTCCTCCACCACCTTCTCCTCCTCCTGTTTCCTCCTCATCGTTACGCCTCCTCCCCCCGTTCCCCCTGTTGGTCCTGCCTCCTGCGTCCTCCTCCTCCTGCTTTCCCTTTCCCTCCTCCTCCTCTTCCTCCTCCCCTCTCCCGCCTCCTCATCTCCCTCTCCCTCCTTCGCCTACTCCTCCTCGTCTCCATCTTCCTCCCCCTCCTCTTCTCCCTCCTCCTCCTGCCTCCTTAGGCATCCTGCCACCTCCTGGGGCCTCTTGGGGCCTCCTGGAGCCTTCTGGGCCTTCCGGGACATCCTGGGGCCTCCTAAGGTACTCCTCTTCCTCCTTGTCCTCCTCGTCCTTCTCGCCTTCTACCTCCTCCTCGTCTTCCTCCTTTTCTTTCTCGTCCTGCATCCTCCTTCCTCCTTCGCCCCATCCTCCTCCTCCTCCTCCTCCTCCTCCTCCTCTTCCTCCTCCTCCTCGTGCGGAACACGACCCAGAGGAAGCGCACGACGTGCGTCCCAAGAGATACGCGCCGGAAAACGACTCAGAGGAAGCGCGCGCCGGAGGATGACCCGGAGGACGACCCGGAGGAAGCACGGGAGGTGTGGGCCGCATAGGGAGGGACCTCCCGCCTAAGACTTCCTCGCAATTCACTCACAGACGAGCCTCCCGCCTGACACATCCCCATAGTCAGGCCTCGGGAGCCCCACAGAAACGACAGCTACACGAATGAGGATGACCCGCTCGGATTAAAAAAATAAGTGCGGGCCCCATAGGGAAGCCCCAGGAACCAGCTACACGGATGAGGATGACCCGCTCGGGTTTAAACGATAAAGTGCGTGCCCTGTAGGGAGGGGGCTCACGCCTGAGACTTCCTCACGAATTACTCACAGACGAGGCTCCCGCCGGATACTTCTTTCATATTCAGGCCTCAGGAGCCCAAAAGTGACGACAGTTACACGGATGAGGATTACCCGCAGGATTAAAAGCATAACATGCGGGCCCCATAGGGAGGGTGCTCCCGCCTGAGACTTCCTCACAGTTCACTCACGGACGAGGCTCCCGCCTGATACGTCCCCCAGATTCAAGCCTCAGGAGCCCAAAAGTGATGACAGTTACACGGATGAGGATGACCCGCTCGGATTACCAACATAAAATGAAAACACCATCGGGAAGGGGTTCCCCCCTGAGACTTCCTCACAACTTACTCACAGACGACGCTCCCGCTCGAGACTTCCGCCATGTTCAGGCTAGTGAGTGAGTGGTGGCGAAGTGATGGATGAGCGAGTGATGATGATGATGAGTGGTGATGATGATGATGACGATGATGAGTGACCGAGTGGTTCGTATGGTGATGATTGGTGATGATGAGGAGAATGATGTGGTGCTGGTGTGTTCTTGCGCAGGGTGTCCAGAGAAAAAGGATGCTGAGTTGTGAGAGAGAGTGTGATGTGCGACTGAGTATGATGATGATGGCGGTGGTGGTGATGCTGCTGATGATTATGATGATCGATGGCTGATGGTGGTCGATGGTGCGCGACTGAGTGTTATGATGATGGTGGTGATGATGATGATGATGACCGATGGTGATGATGATCGATGACGGGGTGAATGCGTGAGTGAGGCGGAGAGCGGGAGGGAGATGAGGTTCCTGCGCGGGGGGTGTCCAGAGAGAACAAGAAGCCCACTTTGGATGTGGGGCAAAAACATCAGGCATAAACGAAAAAGACAAATCGTCACCACACTGTTTCTCTACTATTCTTGAACATTCCTCCTGGAGAGGGAAATGTCCGATATAACCCTAACGTAGAGGCCTCCCGAAATGGGTTCCGAGTAGCGATGGTGTCGGAGAGTCGCTCCGCATCGCCGATGCATCGCCGATGCGTCGGCAATGCGTCGGCGCCATCGGCGTGGAGAACATCGGATCCTAAAACCCCATCTGCTCGGACCCCGTCTGGGAGGCATGGCCACCCGCCCGCCCCTGCCAAGGACGATCGAAATTGGGTACGGAAACAATGGGCACAATGTCTAACTGCAGTTCTGGTTCATTCTGAACAGCGTTCGCTGTCGGCGTCACCGCGGCCGTTGCCCATCTGAGACAGAAGGGTCGAAGTTGATGGGGTCGGAGGATCGAGCCGCATCGCCGATACATCAGCGATGCATCGTGGACGTCGGCGGTACCTCGGCGACGTCAACTTGAATCAAATTGGGCTGCACATCGAGACGCATCCGCGATGTATCGGCGGTGCGGTGCGATTCTCCGAGCCCATCTACTGCGACTCCATCTAGGAGGACTTGCATGGGCATGTCCTCCCACAGGCGGATTCCGGGGGAATAATAAAAAAAGCCAAACAATACTCAACCATGGTCAGCAATAGTTGAAACATCGTACCCAGACTATGGTTTGTTCATTCCTCCTGCAGGGGGACGCATTGAAACAAGCAGGGCTGGACCTACACTGTGTTTTTCGCTTTCGTTTTGTTTTCGGTTTCCATCGTTTTGTCTTCAATACGCCTCTACAGCAGAATGAAGTCGAAACGAAAACGGCCCCCGAGATCGCCAAAACAGCGTTCAGGTCCAGCCCTGGAAATAAGATGGGGCGCCATGGCGTCCGGGGAGATAGCCTGGCCCCCGCCACGATATCCCCCCCCCCGCCTAGTCGTCACCCCCCTCCTGGGTCGCCCCCGACCCTCTGCTGCCGCGCCCAGGCCCAGCGGGTGCTCCGAGCGTGCCTCGGCCGCGCGCGGTGTGGCGCGCACGGGCGCGGGGCGCGAGAGGCCCGCACTGGCTGCGCTCGCGCGCACTCGCAGGCCCGGGCAGGGCCTCGACTGTTGGACGATGCTTGCATGCGAAGCAACCATGCGCAAAACGCGGGCAAGACGATTGGCGAGACAGTCGGCGGGTGTGCGACCAGCGCCAAGGTCGTTAAAGCTGGAGGACAGGAGGCGAAAAGACGTGCTACAGGACAGCGACGACGACGGGAGGGCGAGAGGGGGAGGGAGGGGGAAACGTGCGCCTTTAGCGCCCCTTTTGGGCCCCTGGGGGGCCCCTGGAAGCTCCTATTCTAGGCTCTGGGCTCTCAAAGAAAGGAGGAGGAGGAGGAGGAGGAGGAGGAGGAGGAGGAGGAGGAGGAGGAGGAGGGAGGAGGAGGAGGAGGAGGAGGAGGAGGAGGGGGGAGGAGGAGGAGGGCGGAGGAGGAGGCAACGCCCGAACTGTATCGCGCCCGCACTGTGCAACGCCCGAGACTTTCTTTCGAGCTCCTCCACCGCCAAATCCCCTCAAACGCGGCGGCAGTCGCCCTCCCTTCAGTGCGGGACCAACTCAAGGGTAAAACTGAGGGGGGGGGGGGGGCGGCTCAGGGGTGGCAACCTCGAGCTGGAACCCGCGAGACGGGGGATGGGTCCCCAACGGCGACTCCGAACGTTCCAAGGGGCTGGGTGGGTGGGCTATCGGGCCCCTATCGGCGATGAAAGGGCGATGGGGGGTCGATTAGGCGGTTTTTTGGCCGTGCTCGATTGCCGCCTGGTGCACCCCCAAGCTTGAGAGTGTGCAGCGGCAAATCAATCCTCCTCCTCCTCCTCCTCCTCTCCTCCTCCTCCTCCTCTCCTCCTCCCCCTCCTCCTCCCCCCATGAGCCTATGCCCCCCCCCCCACCGTTGCCCCAAACTCTTTCTGACACGCCGCTTCCTGCGGGCGTGCTCCGTGTAGGTGATCGTGTCCCGCAGAACGTTCTCCAGGAACATCTTCAGCACCCCGCGGGTCTCCTCAGGCGTGGGGGGTCGCTTAGCTTGCGAGAGAGAGAGAGAGAGAGCGAGCGAGACAGGATGAGGATGAGACGGGGAGGGAAGGAGAGAGGCACAGAGAGGGAGATAGAGTGAGACGTATACGCCGATAAATACAAAGAGAAAAATAGAGATAAATAAAGAAATAGAAAAAGAAAGAGAGAGAGGACGAGTGAGAGAGATAAGGGGGTACACACATACATATATATATATATATATATATGTGTGTGAACGTACAACTAGAGAACACAACAAACACACCATAATGAGGGGAAGGTCGCGAGAAAGATAGAAAGAGGGACACAAGGGTGAGAGAGAGAGAGAGAGGAAAATAGAAGCATGCAGGGTGGCACGCATCATCATGATCAGATATCAGATGCACATGGCATGTGCATCTCATTTACATGTAATTACCTGTTTGTATTTATGTAAATCGAGAGAGAGAGAGAGAGAGACAGAGAGGAACCGCAGGATGGGGGAGGAGGACTCAGATGAGCGGAACGCAGGGTCAAATTGGGCAGTCCGAAAGTTACGTCTTAGACAGAAGGGGGGCAGGTGTGTCATCCATTTCGGGTTCCGGGGGCCGCTCCCAGTCCCAGGACTGTCAAACAACTGCACACACAGCGTGAAGAGCCGTCCTGCAGAACAGGTCACGAGCCCGGGGGATCCCGGGGGGGGGATCGGTGCGGGAAGCAACCGAGTCCCTGGAGAAGTGGGGTAGCCTTGACAACGTTCGAGCTTTGGCAGAACTGGGTTTAGTGGGACCTGGCTTACTGATGTGTACTGGGGGACGCCCCCCCCCCCCCCGCCCCCCTGCCGTCACCCGAAAAACAGCTACGGCAGACCTGGTTTAGTGATGCTGGCCAATCTGGGGGCTCCAGGGCCCTACTACTAACCGGGTCCCCTTGCCTGGGGTCCTGGCTATACCCGAAACGTGTCGCCTTCAATGGCTTCAGGCCCTGGGACGTGACGTGGTTCGGTTCGCGCTCTGGTCGTGATCGTTCCTCGCGCCATATGTGGGTGGGCCGGTCGGCAGGGACACGGAACGCTGCCGACGCTGACCCGAACAGTACACGTCGTTCATTTCTAATCGTGCTCATTTCTATTTGTGCTCGTTTCTAATTGTTCTTGGCCCCCTATTGGCCAGGGGGAGGTCCAGGAGAGAACAATTAGAAATGAAAGAATCTTGCCCCCCGAAAAATGAACAAAGAACTTTCGAATAATTCAAAATGAAACATGTGTATGTGTGTTTGCACACGTGCGTTGTCACGAAGGCACGACGGCATGATGCCAGACATGCGCAAGACATCCACCGTGAAAGAGCGACATCAGCAAGACGGCCAAGAAGTGAGCAGGATCACCAGCGGCAACGACAGTGAGAGAGAGAGAGATACATCAGGGGTACGAGGCACTATTCGGGAGGGATGCGGCGCGTGGCACGGGAAGCAAGACGAGATCCCAGAGAAGACGTTGGGACGCGGGGCTTACCGAATCAACTTGTGAGTTTGCGGTGCAGCTGCCTCGTAGATGAGGCCGCTGATGCGCTTCACCCCACCGCGGCGTGCAAGCCTTGGAGGTCATTTCTCTCCTCCTCCTCCTCCTCCTCCTCCTCCTCCTCCTCCTGTACTGCTCCTCCTCCCCGCCGTCGCAGTCTTCTGCCCGCGTGTTTATCCCGCTCCGCCGCCTCGCCCTCTCCGGCCCGCTTCCCATGGTCATGGTGCTATGGTTACGTTTCATATGAAAGTCCCTTCGGCGTATCCGTATCGCCGCCTTCATTTGATCTCACCTTCTGCGTTCGGATCTCGATTTGAGATTTGAGCACCTCCCTCTCACTTCCTCATGCCTCATACCTCCGACGTGCCTCCTGCCAAATCTCCCACTTATACCTCGCCCTTCCTGTTCGCCGATGCTGCGTGCTGCGAAACAGTCGCCACGTTTGTTGGCCCCCTGGAGGGCCACCAGAGTGACGTCTTATGCAGATCAGATGAGACCTCGCCGTCGCTGGGAGCTGCGGGCTGCGAAACTGTCGCCACGTTCGTGACCCTGGGAGGTCATAAGGCGTGAATGCGACTCTCCGCTCGACTGCGACTCCCAGGATGAAGACCAGGACGAGGAGGAGGACAGACCGCCTCGACCAAGACTGCGGGTGCGGGTGCGGAAATATTCAGATCTGAGCGGGGCATCGTCGTGCCTGGGTGGGGGGACATTTTCGCCTCCTCCTGCCCTCCCCTTCCTCCCACCTAGTCCGCCCACCGCTCGAAATCTCTCCCGTGAGTCATTCAACGCGCGATCCTCTCATTTTTGCTGTGTCAGCAAAGCGCGTTCATAAACATGTCATGCCCCGCGAAGGTGTTGCAGCTTACTCTGCTCCCTGGGTGTATGTGGGTCTGGCACCTCGCAGGGTCATGCATGCTCGGCTTCTTGTGCCGAGCGCGGACGTGTGTGCCATTGTTCGGGCCGTCCAGCCCGCAGCAACCATGCGCAGAGGAAGCGCGGGAGATACCGCATGCTGGCCGTGCACATCCAGGCACGAACCCGCCCGCCCGACGACGCTCGCGCACGGAGGCCCACACACATACACGCGCAAGCAAGCGCAAAGATAGACTCGCGCACGCGCAGCCGCACACCCGCCAACGAATGCGCACGCGCACGCACCCGAGTTCACACACCCTTCTGCGCCCACCCGGCCACACGCACACAGTCTGAGACTGAGGAGGGGGGGTCGGCCGGGGGGGGACGTACGAGGAAGGAGAGATAGCGAATGATGGAAGCGGAGGACGCCGGCGAGGACAATGCCAGGAACGAGGACGAGAAAGGGGTCCGGCCTGGGGGGGGGACGTACGGAGAAGGAGAGAGAACGGATGATGGAAGCGGAGGGCGCCGGCGAGGACAATGCCAGGAACGAGGACGAGACAGGGGGCACGAATGAATGTATTTGACTCTCGCAAGCCCCATCTATGCTCGCCATCCGGGCTCGAGGTGTAGCCCGCATGTCGAGATGGCAACCGCAGCACGATTTAGCTGCTCTGGGTTGAAAACTCTAGGGGGAGGAAGGTGTTTGAACGGAGCATGGGGAACAAGTGGCTCTCGTCCCACGAGTGGGTCGCTCCAGGGGGGAGGAGGTTCTATGAGGGGAGCATCCGCCCAGGCAGCCATAGTTACATCTGCTTCCTCGGTTCGCTTTGCCTATGTCGTTAAGCTTCGGCTCTTGCTTCGGCTCTCACTGCAGCGTTGAGATGCAGCCCTTGGTTCACGGCACTGAGCACCACGAGCCTGCCGCTTTGCCATCAAAGCTGGGCGACAGCGACGGCAGCCTGCGTGACAGCGACGGCAGCCTCGCACTCGGCGGAGAAAAAACGCTCTAAACCGACGTGAGCATCGCGCGCGTTCGGAAGGCATCTCAGATGTGACTCCATGGCCGAGGCCAAAAAAGGGCCACGCTCTGCTGCGGACTGGGGGCAGAGCACGTGCGCCCGCTGCGGCCCTGCCTACGTGGGGCGCAACTTCACGAGCCTGCCTTACAGAGCAGGGAAGGCCCAGGGGGAACTGCCTCGAGCCCCCCGACGGAACAGATCTTCCGCCGCCTCTCTCTCTCTCTATCTTTCTCTCTCTCTCTCTCTGTCTCTCTCTCTCTCTCTCTCTCTCTCAGAAGAGCAGGCAAACATTACGGTGGTGGCATCGGATGAGGAACCCTTAGATAAGGAACACAGGGCCTCGAGGCCAGTGGAACACACGTCGAGGCTTGGCCATGGATCTCACCGCCGCCCTCATCAGATAAGGACTCCTCCAGGGTCTGCAACGTCCTGGGCGCACTCCTCAACCATCGCCCCCACCATAATTTCGACAAGACTGTCGGTCCCCGCGGATTCCATGGGTCGGCGCTGGCCCCTCCCCATCCTGTCGCGCGGCATTGGGAGGCAGTGGCGGCGCCGCAGGAGCCGCACAGAGAAGTGTCCAGCGCCGACTTGAGAGAGATTCGCGCGGACCCGGAACGTTTCTGTATGTCCGTGATTAGGTCGGGCATGTCCCCCTACACGCGGATTCCCGACGACAAACCGAATACTCGACACATACTCAAACATGAGCCAGACACGCTCGAAACATTCGTCCCCGGACTATTTTTCTGGCTACTGCTGTTGTATCTTCCTCCCGTGGAGGGACATGCCCGACTTCCGGCTGTGACCGCTTGTGACTGCGGCCGCGCCCTTCCTCGAGGGCCCCCGGGAGCCTGCGCATAGGGCGAGCTCCGCACGAGCCCGGCCAGGGCAGCGCGGGGAAGCGCCAGGGCAGGGCGAGGCGCGGAGCCTTCCTCGGCCAAGCGTGCGAAGTGACCCCTGGTGAGAGTGACCTTTGGTGCGCGGCTCACGGGGGGGCCGCGGGGGGACCAGACACCAAGCGCGCAAGACGCTACCAGCGCGTCCCAAGGGTCGGGAAGACGTAAGACTCGGGTACGGGGGACTCGGGTTGGCCTGACGAGGCCATCGTAAAAATGACGAGACCCAATCTGGAATTTGACGCGAGCTCCCGCTGCAAACATCCCACGAAAACTGGACCGTCAAAATCCACCACGCGCTCGTCAAAAGACGTCGGCGAACGCGAGCTCTGGCTTACTCGTGTCTTACGTTTCCCCGAAAGGGGCCCGCACCAAAGGCCCCTCCGGCGAGAGGTCACTCTTGGGTGCAGTCGAGGCTCTCTCCGGGGCAGGGGGCGCACGGCTCGCCCATCCCGCCTGCCGCTGCGAGCCCCCGTGGCCGTGGACGTCCGAGGCGGGCACGGCAGAGCACGGCAAGGGCGGCCCACGGCGAGTGGGGCCCCGACCTGGCCGCGGCCGCTGCTGCACGGGCGACCTCTGGACCCCGACGTGGGGGAGCTCCCGCGGAGGCGCCGGACACCGCCTCCTGGCCCGACTCGGGCAGCACCTGCCCTCGGTCTTCGTCCCCGTTCTTCCCGTGTCCGCTTCGACGTGGCCGGCGCCACGCGCCCTGGGAGGAGCGGGGACCGTTGTTACGGCGCGGCCGGGAGTACAGGGGACGGAGGAGCTGCCAGTCGCCCCGAGAGGAGACCGGCGGGCAGCCGCCGTGCGGCAGCAGCAGGAGCGCATGGGCCGTGCGCCCAGCCTTCGGCAGCCCATGCTGGACTCGTCTGGAAGAGGGGGAGGAGGGGGGTCGAGGACGATGGGCGACGCCAGCCGCAGGGAAATGCACGAGAAGCGCCAAGGGGAGAGATGGGGAAGGGCGATTTGAGGATCGCACCGCATCGAAGACAAGACTGAGCGAACTGGACTAGCGCCAAGCACATGGTGCGCCCAAAGCAACTGAACAGTCAGCCAGGCGAGGCCTCCAGTTCCCTAAGACCGAAACAGGTATCGAGGAGGAGAACGACGTGGAGGGGGGCTGGAGTTGCCAGTCAAGCACAACACATACGATTGCCACAAACATGCGTCAGTGTTTATGCATGTATGCTGCCTTTTTCTTCGTGCATTGGCTTGGGCCCTTTTTCCTTTGCGCTCGTCAGCCGCGTCCTGACCATCCACCGGCAGACGTTCGGTAACAAGTGGTCTAGGCGTGTCACGCCCTAGAGAGAACTGCGTTGGATCAGTCGACTGGCAAGTTAACCACAAATGTGTGTGTGTGTGTGCGATGTCCCTCGTCCGTCGGATTTCCCCCTCCTCTTCAGTAGAGCTCCTCTTGCGCTGGGAAAAGTGGATGCGTACATATATATATATATATATACATATATATATGTATGTGTATATATGTATGTGTGCCGCCTCACCCCCTACTCTTCTACGCCACGCCACCACGCCTAGTGTGTGTGTGTGTGTGTGGGTGTGTGTGTGCGCGCGTGTGTGTATATGTGTGTGCGTGTGCGTGTGCGTGTGCGTGTGCGTGTGTGCGCGGGTGTGTGTGTGTGCGCGCGTGTGTGTATATATGTGTGTGCGTGTGCGTGTGCGTGTGCGTGTGCGTGTGTGCGTGTGTGTGTGTGCGCGTGTGCGCGTGTGTGTGTGCGTGTGTGTGTGTGTGTGTGTGTGTGTTTGTTGTTGAGAGGGAGGGGCCAAAGCCTGCGAATAGCGGGCTTCGTGATGCCCTGGATGTTGTCGCGGAGCACCTTCTTGTAACGGTTGGCTCCGCCCTCGCGCGGGAGTCCTCTTGCTGCTGCTCCTCCTCCTGAAGATCGTCATCCCCCTCGTCCTCCTCGTCTTTGCCGTTCGGGCTCCAACTGTCTGCGGCGCCGAGAGGGCGCTGCGGGTCTCCAGGGCCCCCGAGCATCTCCACGCGATTTCGGCTGGGCTTTGACACTCCTAACCAGGGAAGGAAGACCGCAAATACAGTGGAGGCAAGTCCACAAGAAACCTCCCACAAGAAACCCAACCCTGAGACCCCGGGACGTCCATGGATATCTGGTGTGGGCACTTTACGTTTTCCACCGCGAAACCATCAAAACCCAAGAGACCCAAGGTACCCTGGAGGCGAACAGGGTGTTTCTTGGCATGGGCCCCCGCTGCAGTCGGTCAGAGAATGGGCGAAGGCAAGAAGGGTCGTGACAGACGCAAGGCTCAGCTGGTCGATGATGAGGATCAGTGGCCCCCTCTTCCTCTTCGGCCTGGTCCGCGGCGGTCTGCCTCTTGAGCGGCAATGTCATTGGCTCCGCGGCAAGTCGCTTGGCAGCCGCAGTAGTTCGGAGGCAGCTACTGGGAAGTCTTCGTCGGAAAGACTAAGAAGGATTAAGCCTCGTTGGGGGACTGTTACGCCAGAGTGGGACTCGGATTAAGCGGGATTTTCGGATTAAGCGGGGTTAAGACTGATTTCAGACCAGGGCTAAATCAGAATTTGACCTCCCAGGAGTTGCATCCGAACAGTAATGGTCCGTCCCTCCACCGCCGCCGATGTCAGGTGGGGCACGCCGCCCGAACCTTCAGTCCAGTGCCAACCCCAGCTACAAGCTACAGAGAGGTCAAGTGCTGGTCCAGCACACGCTGGGCTTGGGCGTCCAAGCTGCAAAGGCATGCGAGCACTTGTCTCTGCGGTGCTCTCCGCCCAGCAACCAGCCTCCAGCCGAAGAGGACAACGGCTCCAGTGGCCCAATAGGCAAGAAGACAGGGAAGTGTCCTTCACGGTCGGAGAAGCAGAAGGAGGAGGAGGAGGAGGAGAAGGAGGCGGAGGAGGAGGCGGAGGAGGAGGCGGAGGAGGAGGAGGCGAAGGACGAGGCGGAGGAGGCGGAGGCTGTTCGGTCGGACCCAGGCCAGGAGAGCATCCCTCAGGAGCAGGGGGCACCCCGTTGGCGCGAAAGCACACCGCACCCCCAAGGGTGCTCCCCCAGGGTGCGCACAAGAGCAGCCCGCAGACACCGGGAGCACGAGAGCACCGCAGAGACACAACTCGCTCGCACGCCTCGGTCCGACTGCAGCCGGGGAGCGTGCTGGATCTGAGCCGGGCGAGGCGGCGCAATGCGCTGCCGCAGGCACCGCGGGCCGAGGGCGAGCGCTGGGAGAGCCCGCTCGTCCAGCTGTGCGCAGCAGGCGGTGGCGGCGGCGACCAGGGTCACGCGGGCTCAGGCGGCCTTCGGCAAGGCTCAAGCGCAGCTGCTCAAGCTCAAGTTCGAGGTCGACGAATGCAAGGCGGTCCTGCAGGAGGCGGCGACGCGTCTTGCGCAGGCGGAGCGGGAGCGTGCCGAGCTGTTTCGGTCCGTGGCTCCGCCGCGCCAGGCAGGAGGTACCATCTTGGCCCAGCCAGTACCGACCCCCCCGCCTTACCCCTAGCGCAAAATGTTTTGCGCGCGGGCTCGCTCATAGAAGCCGCAATATATTAGCAGCGCCCCGTTTTGCAAAACATGCGAAGAAAAAACGCGCGCGTTGTCGCGCGCATGCGCCACAATGCTTCAAAAACTGTGAGTCCCGCAAGCATTTCAACATCGAGTGCCCCGAGCACACATAAAATACGTGGTTTGGCCACGCGACGTGTCAAACAAATGTTTTCGGGACCGCGCCCTGGGCAACCCTTCAAAAAATCACGAACATGTCCCCACACATCTGCAGAACGCTCGCGCGCACAGGCCGACATCACTCGAACGCCCATACCCGCACATGTGGGGGGGAGGGACCCCCTCTCAAATGAAATCACGTGCGCGAGCCAGCCGCGCGCGCATGCCGAAATCGTTCCAAACAACGACGCGTGGACACCCTCATCGTCGTCGGCGCGATCTGCATCGGAACCGCTCTTGGCCTGGCCGTCGTCCTCGCCATCGTCGCCGCCATCGTCGCTACTAGCATCACCGTGTCTACCGTTGACGACGTCGCCACGACACCGCGCCAGCCCATGTCACGGCCTCGCACGGAGCTGCCTGCGCGTCAGCGAAGTTTGCGTGACACGACGGGGGGTCTCAGAGGTCAGCACCACCGCGGCCGCGTCGGACGCGCCAAAGTAGCTGGCCGGTGCGCGCGCGAGCATGCGCTGGCTGGCGCGGCTGGAACGAAGCACCAGCCATCATCAAACACTCATCGAAAACACTGCGGCATGGGTTTTGCAAATCAAGTTGCGGGTAGGCGGGTGGGATGATTGCGCGAACGCTGGGGTTGACAATTCACTGCTAACCAACATCAACTGTAAAATATAGATTGCACTACGTAGCTTGACCACAAAATTTGCCCAATCTCGATTCGACTTCCCTGGGCATATATTCCCTCTGGGTGTGACCCGCCGGAGCTTCATTCTAGAATGTAACTCGTCCAATCCCGGCCCGACCATTATATACCATTATAGGCCCCCTTACCCCAAACCTTATATGATATGCACGCGCGCTCGTTCATCAGTTGATTGCAGGGCCCCCGGGGCAATGACTGCGACCACGTGCGAGCGCGCATCGCTGTGCGCGCATGCGCCACAATACTTGAAACAAGCCGTATTTCCCGACAGGCCTTCAACGCCGCGTGTCCCGAACACACACACACATATAGATATATGTAAACGTATGTCTGGCAACGTGACATTTAAAACACACGCTTCCGCGCGTGACCTGGGCAATCCTTCGAAATACCATGCGAACGCCATCGCATCCTCAGAACACTCGCGCGCGCATGTGTACATCATTCGAACGCCCTTGCGCGCGTGTGGGGGGGGGAGGGGCCCCTCTCAAATAACATCATGTGGGCCACTCGCGCGCGCCGGACGCACGCGCATGCCGAAATCGTTCCAGAACTTTCATCAACGACGCGTGGTCACCCTCATCGTCATCGGCGCGATCTGCATCGGAACCGTTCTTGGCCTTGCCGTCGTCATCGTCGTCGTCGCCACCAGCGTCGCTACTAGCATCATCGTGTGTACCGTTGACGACGTCGCCATGACACCGCGCCCGCCCGTGTCACCGCCTCGCACTGAAATGCCAGCGCGTTAGCGCCACCGCGGCCGCGCGCGTGCTGAGCAACGGACGTGACAACTTCAAGTTCGGAAGAGCGAGCTGAACAACAAACTACGCACTACCAATGCATACGTAATCTACATATATATATATATGGTGCACAACATATTTTCGCCACATCGGTTACTCTACACGGATTGCGCAATATACGTTGCGCCACCTAGCCTGCTCAACCTATATTGCACCTCGTAGGTTGCCCAACACAGATCGCGCAACATGGCATTCACAACATACATTGCGCAACATAGATTTAGCCAGACATAACACTCTTCTAAATCGCGCAACGTGTAGTATTGCACCACGTAGGTTGTACCGCATATACTGCACCAGATAGATTGTACATCGTACATTGCACCAAGCAGATTTCCCCACATAAAACGCACAACGTGTCTAGAAGCACGCAGGTTCCACAACATATATTGCCCCACGCAGGTTTCACAACATGGCTTGCACCATGTATGTACAGATATTCATACAATGCACGTATGAGACTGACTCTCGTAGACGGCACCACACATACCAACAGAAGTTGCACAACATACATGTCACCACATAGGTTGCATCACATAGATTGCACCACCGATATTGCACCTCGTAGATTGAACCACATCCATTTCTAGAAACACACTGATTGGGGCCCACGCTGGGATACTCTTTGGAGGGGGGAGGAAATGTGAACATTGTGAATTCCAGCTCGCATAAACACAACCCACCAATGATCTCAGAAAGAGGCCGCCGAGACTATCCAGCCACAACTGCGCACACACAATTGTGCACCGCAGGCGATAATCAACAAACGAGGACTACGCCAACTAAAACCCACACGGGCAAAACAATGCATACTCGATGCTGCCTCGAAAAGTCAATATAATACGCTTGCGCGCGCGAGTCATGACAATCATGCGCACTTTAGATCACGAGCGTGGGCATGCCACCTAAGTTTCCACATGAAACGCGAAAGAGAGCTTCCTTGCCGACTGGCAGTCTCTCCACGCTGCTCTTGTCACCCTTGGGTCCAGACATCTTCGCAGACATGTTCATGGCCTGCAAGATATCAGCACAGGGAACTGTAGGAGAAGATAAGGACACGAATCGGAATGCTGCATGTTTGAAGACGAAGGGGTGTGGTCAGCACTACACAGCGCGAACACGTCCAACTCGTTCAGGGGAGTGGCATGCAACCATGCTGCAGAAGTCTCATCGCCCAGTCCTCCCACAGACCGGTGCGCGAGCGTGGACTGGGTGTAACGATATGCGCCACTGCAGCGCATGAGATCAGCAATTGCGCATCCGAATCGACAGGAAGAGGAGGCAGGGGAGGAAGAGGAGCATAGGCAGTGGGCAGCTGTGCGATACGCTGACATGGAAACTTTGAAATAGGAGGGGCTCTCTCTTTCGTTCATCCTGACGTCCGCCCACTCTTTCCCCCTTCCTTCCCCCTGAGGATTCGGTTCGCTTCTGCTTCCTACCTCGCCCACATTCTCCATGCTAAACCTCCGCCGCTTTCGCCCACGGCCCCCTGCTCCAGCGAGACACGTGGATGAAGGTGGGAACGGAGGACGAGGACAGACCAAGGACGCTGCCGCTGAAGGACGCTGCCGCTGCCGCCTTCGTGAACTTGGGCTGCTCCATGGCGCTGCGACGGCGCTGAACAAGCCTAGATGTCGACAACGGGCTGGGTCCCCAAGGGGGAACGCCGCGGCGGCGCTGCAACACTCGAACATTGATGCAGATCCACCCCCCTCTTCTTCCCTCCCCGATCCTCCTCTGATTGTTCGCTCCTGTCCCGGGAGGTGGCAAGGGGGCAGAACGAGGTGGATCTGCCGCTCCCCTCCTCGGATGAACCCCTTCTCACACGGCCGGCTGATCATCCCCAGCAGCTCTGACAAGAACCAGAATACGCAGGAATACACACGAGAGCACAAAGGTCTGCGCGGATCTTTCTTGGGTCGGTGATGGGCCTCTCTCCCTGGCGCGCGCGGGGCGCGCCGGGCTGTGCAGGCGCAGGCCCAAGACATCCGCGCGGACCTCCGGCGGTTTCGGTTTGCGCAGCTGCTTCTTCTTCGGCCTCTCTGGCGGGCCGAGCAACGTCGGGAAGGCCGACGTCGCGATGTGATGTTGCTCGGTGGCCCGGGTCTGAGGGCCAGTGCTGGGGAGGCACCCGCCACGTCACCCACCAGAAGTCAGCCAGGCCCGGGGCGCCCCCAGCTTCTCGAGCCACCCTGGAGCTCCCGGGGCCCTCGAGGGCTTCATGGTGGGGGTGCCCTGGATGCCGTCAGCACCTCCCTAGGAAAGCCAGGGCCACCCTGCGCGAGGCGGGGATGCATCCATACCCACCGCCTGGGGCCACCGATGTCTTGGGACCCCAAGAGGCGATGCACATGAATAGATGTGTAGGCTTAGGTCGGGCATGTCCTCCTACGGGCGGATCCTGGGGGAAACCTGAAAATAGTAAAACAATGCTAGAGACATGAGCAACACTAGTAGAAGCATCGTCCTCCTGTAGATGGACGTGCCAGACTGAAGTTTCGGCCCATGGGCCAAGGGGCGCCTGAGCACATCCGCGTCCACCGCCTGCCGGGGGTCCGAGACCGTCAGTTTCCTGGGCGGTGGGCGAGGATCACCTCCGGCCTGGAAGATGCCGATTGCGGCCCGTGTGTTGGCACCAACACCAACACAGGCGCTGGCTTCCTCCAACAACTATACAAAGTGATGTCCCGCCACCCTGGGAGAGGATGCTGCATGTTTTGGTGCTGGTGGTCATGTCTCGGTCGCTTAGACAAGCTGGAACATTCGACCACCGTCCCTGGAGGCAACAGCCGATACTGGTGATGGTGGCCTCCTCTGATGTTAGGAACGCTGGGTGCCTCTCTGGCTTTCAAGATCGTTTGCTTTTCATTTCGGGGTATGCCGCTTCGTTTTTGGGATTATCGCTAGCGCCGTTTACGGTTCGCTTCCGTTTCTTACTGCGAGTCATTGCTTTGATATTTGGGACCTCCGTTGTTCGATTGGCTGGGGGCCGAAAAGAGAGAGAGAGAGAGAGAGAGAGAGAGGGACGCATATATATATGTATATATATATATATATGTATACACATATTATGCATATATCTTTATGAATAAAAGGGACGAGGAATCACGCCGCCAGCGCTTAAACATTCGGTCTGGCATGTCCTCCTACAAGCGGATTTTGGACGACAATGAAACATAGTCAACCAACGAATCAGACATAGTCGGAAGAGCACAACAAATCGTCCCTGGACTATGTTTGTACTGCTCTGGGAGATCCCTCTTGTAGAGAGGGACATGCCCGACTTCATTTCAGCATCACTCAAGCACCCCCACCCCGCCCGCGCGATGGCAGCACCCCCCGCTGGCTCTTCCCCACTGCGGAGTCCCCCCCCCGCGCGCGGCGCGGCCGCCCGGTGCGGACGCGCGCGCTCGGCACAGCTCGAGCCCGCGGGCGCTGCGGGGGAGCAGGCGGCGGCGTGCAGGCTTCAACGGAGAAGGGGGGAGAGGGAAGGGTGCAAGAGGTTGCCTGGTCGGCCAATGCGATCGGTGTATAGGCGCCCCAGTTTCTCGACCTGGCGTCCCAGCCCGCGAGGCGTTGGCGGATCGTTTTCTCGGCTCCTTGGCCGGCCAAGCGACGTGGTTTACACATCGAGCCGCTCCGAGAGCGGGGGGGCGGAAGTATAGCATGGTGGGCGTCAGCGAGTCGATTGCATGGGCATGACCGGAACGGACGAGGGGGCCCCTGTGCTTCGCTTCGCAATCTTAAGGCCCCCAGCGCCTCTTGGCGGGCTCCACGGCGGGGGCGGCGGAGCACAGAGTGCAACAGCCTGAGCAGATTCAGTAGCCACCACTGGCCCTACCACCCACCCTTTTCCCTGCCCCCTCCATCATCGAGTGAGGGCGCCGTGCGAGAACAGGAGAACGAGGAGGAGGAGGAGGAGGAGGAGGAGGAGGATGAAGGAGGGGGGGGAAGAAGAGGAGTGGAGGAGTGGCCAAAATGAACACGGGTTTCTCACCCGGGGTGGCGCGGCCTGTCGACCTGGCAGCCGTGAGCCTCTGTTGGCGGCTTCTTCGCCATGATGCCCCCGGCGTGCGCGTGAAAACGCGTGCGCGCGCCCTGCGCACCCCCAGAGATCCGACGTCGTGATCTTTTTCCATACGGGGCCCCCGGAAGTCTCTCGACCCATTCCCCACGACCGATGCCTCATCCTGCGTCGTTTCTTGACGGTCCCGAGGCCCGGTGAGGGCCCCTAAAGGCTGAAAATTGTAAAAGACGTCCGTCTTGATTGAAGGGGCCCTTGGACACACGCAAATAACTACACACAAGTAAAATGATTCCCCATATTTTCTCGGTTGTTGTCTCCCCCCGACTTCCCATATTTTCCCATGCTTTCTGGGGAATCGACGATGAATTGTGTCTGTGTGTTTTTTCCCTCCTGTTCCTGTACAAGGCGTTCCTTTGCAAGCACATCGTCTTCGGCACCGCCTGATTCCGGGGTTTTGCCCCCTCCTGGCCTTGACGTGAGGGCCCTCCTTCTGCCCCCCCTTCTTTGTTACTTCAAGCTTCGCGCGGCCCGCTTAGCTTGGACCGGAAGTGGTGCGCTCTCGACCCACGAATCAACAAAAATGTTTTTGTCCCTCCTGATTGATTTTGTTCACTGCGTTGGCTCTCTGGGCCCGTCTGCAGGCGGGCGGCCCTGCGCGCCCGCCCGCAAGCGCGGCCCCGGCCCCCCCGGATGCGGCTGGGAGGCCCGCCCCGGGGCTCGCTCCCGGGGGGCGGCGGCGCGGGCGCCGAGCTTTCGCCCTGCCGCCCTCCCCCCGTGATGGGCCTCTTTTTTTTCACCACCACCACCACCATGAGTTGGAGGGGGGAAGGAGGTGGAGGACGAGAAGGAGGAGGACGAACAGCAGGAGGAGGAGGAGGTGGAGGTGGAGGAGGCCTCCCTCCTCCCTTGATGGGCCGGTTTTCCACCACCACCACCACCACCACCACCACCATGAGTTGGAGGGGGGAAGGAGGTGGAGGACGAGAAAGAGGAGGACGAAGAGCAGGAGGAGGAGGAGGAGGAGGAGGTGGAGGGGGAGGAGGACCCCCTCCCCATCCAACTTATGGTGGTGGTGGTGGAAAACAAGCCCATCACCCCTCCCCCTCCCCCCTGTCGTTTCCTCACCTTGCCGCTGGGTTCCTTCGCGAGGATAAACAGCAAGTGTGCGCGAACATGTGTCGGTGTGTGAGAGTGTGTGTGTGTGTGTGTGTCTACGTGTGAGTGTGAAAGTGTGTGTGTGTGCGTGTGTGCAAACTCGGGGGATCTTCGACCACGTACAGCGAATGGCCCCAGGCAGTGCTGCTATGTGGTGCACGGCCCGCCGGTCGCCGCACGCGGCGCGGCAGTGGCGACAAAAACCGGCCTGCGTGCGCAGGTCTGGCCCCCCCAGGGCCCTGGGCGTTGCGCCATGAGAAGCCTGCACACCTTGCGTGCCCCTCTTGGGGGGCTCCAGGGGCATCCCTTTAGGGCACCCCAGAAACACAGCAGGTGCCACCTTTCCTCGCCCCCCCCCCAGGCATCGCCCCCGCCCCCCATTATGAAAGGGGCCCAGGGACACAAAAAGAAGTAGACGCAGCTCCCAAGATTCCCCCCTTTTTTCCAGTATATCTTGGGCTGCTTCGCCTTCCCCCACTCTACCCATGTTTTCCCATATCTTCCTTGGAGTCGCCGATTTATTGCGAATGTGCGTCTCTTCCCCCCATGCCACTTCTCAACGCACGAAAGTCGCGCACCAAAGGTCACTCTGGCGACGTCGTGGTCGTCGTCGTCGACGTAGTCGTCGTGGTCGCCTTTCTCGTCGTCGTCGTCGTGGTCGTCGTCGTCGTCGTCGCCATTTTCGTCGTCGTCGTCGTCGTCGTCGAATGCGCGCTGCCACCGCGCTGCCGTATCCCTCCGCCGCCGCGCGAGCCGAGCGGCCTGCCTCGCGGCGCGGCGGAGCGCGGCGCACTCTCCGCCGCACTCTCCGCTCTGGGGGCCGCTAGACGGAGCCCCGCATCACGGCGGATCTGCTTGGGCTCCCTGCTCTCAGCATTTCTCCTCCTCCTCCTCTCCTCCTCCTCCTCCTCCTCCTCCTCCTCCTCCTCCTCTCCTCCTCCTGCCTGCCTCCTCTCTCCTGCCTGCCTCCTCTCTCCTCCTCCTCCTCCTCCTCCTCCTCTCCTCCTCCTCCTCCTCCTCCCTCCTCCTCCCTCCTCCTCCTCCTCTCCTCTCCTCCTCCTGCCTGCTCCTCCCTCCTCCCTCCTCCTCCTCCTCCTCCTCCTCCTCGTCCTCCTCCTCCTCCTCCTTCACACGTTCCGTATCCTTTTGGCCAGAATGGCAGTACTGTGAAGAAGGTATGTTTCCTTTCTTCAGTTTCCTTTGCAGGCCTAGTTAGGGCAGCTGCATGTCAGCCCAGTTTATCCCAGTCTCTCCCACCAGACAGTGCATGG